TTGAAGACACCCGTGCATCAAGAGTCTTGGAGACCCTCGTGCATCAAGCGTTTTGGAGACCCTTGTGCATCAAGCATCTTGGAGACCCTCGTGCATCAAGCATCTTGGAGACCTCCATGCATCAAGGGTTTCGGAGACCCTTGTGCATCAAGCGTTTTGAAGACCCTTGTGCATGAAGCATCTTGGAGACCCTTGTGCATCAAGTGCCCTGGAGACTCCCATGCATCAAGCATTTCAGACTGCTGTGCATCAAACACCCTGGAGAGCCCCATTCATCAAGCATTTTGGAAACCCCCATGCATCCAGCACATCGGAGACCCCCGTGTGCCTTGGAGACCCTTGTGCATCAAGCACCTTGGAGACCCCCACGCATCAAGCACCTTGGAGACCCTGCCGCATCCAGCAGTAGCAGAGCAAGCAGTACCACATCAGAAAGGGCTCAAAACTCCCCAAAGCTGAGCATGACTCCAAGCTAAAGACGGCGCCAGGACCCCTCGGGAGGAAGCTGATGGGAAACTAGCAGGGTGGAGAGGACTGAGGGGTGAGGAATGGGGCTGCCGGGGGCCAAGTTCCACCACGAACCACCAGCACCGAGGGCTTTGCTTGGCGTGGAGGAGAAGCAGGCATGCTCACCATGTTGAGGAGCTCCTGGAGCAGACGTTGGGTGGGCTGGCCCTGGCTTCTCAAGACCTCGTAGAGGTGGGCATAGCCGATGCGCTCCTTGAATACCTCCTGCAAGCACCCGGGCATGTGGGACCCTGCACCGAGCCCCACCACGTGCTGCTTTCACCCCAGCCCACCTTGCTGCTTGAAAACCTCTCAACCCAGCCATTTTTGGGGTGTCTCCCCCAACCTGGTCCGCTGCCCACCTTGGCCGAGGGCGAGTTGCTCATGATGGCGGTGAGAACCCCGATGGCGTGGACTGCGATGGCGTCAGAGCTGCCGTCGAAGACCTATGGAGACATGGGGGTGGTGGGTCTGCTGAGCCATGGGGCGGCAGGGACACAGACTGCCACGCACGGTGGTTTGGTTATGGGGCGGCCCCACTTGGTTATGGGGTGGCCCCACATGATACCTGCTGGAGCCTGTCCCCGTCTGGCGGCCGCACGGGGACCTTGTCCCGGGCTTCGCCCGCCTCCCATGAGCTGCTGAGGTAGAGCTGTGGGACACGGGGTGGGCGTCAGCCCCAGGAAGAAGCACCCAGTACGGGGTGGGGGGAAGAGGGAAGGGGGTTATGGCTTGTCCCCACCCGGGGATGCTGCTGCACCACGGCCGCCCCGTCCCGATATCGTTTAGAGCCAGGAAGGGTGAGGATGGAGATGACGGTGCCCAACCCCGGTGTCACCAAAGCAGGACACCAGTGTGGCCACCCCGGTACCTTGCTGTTTTGGAGGAGGCGGATGATGTGCTCGAAGCAGTTGTTGCTGAGAAAGACAGCTTGGAGGACCGGCCGGTCCTCACAGCTCAGCATGGCCGGGATAGCATCTACGGCGAGGTGGAGACGGCTCAGCGCCCATCCCGCGTCCCCATCCCCATCCCCGCCGCCAACCACCTACCCAGCATGAGGACACGGAGAGCGATGAGGCTGCCGGCCGCCTCCGGCGCCAAGGAAGCGACGGGCAGGTCCGAATTGAGCACCCTGAAGTAACCATCCAGGAGGACGCGCAACGGCACGGGGCAGGCGCCGGGGCTGCTGCCATGCAGCACGTGGACCACGGCCACCACGCCGCGGAGCGCCAGCGCCTCCCCGCCGCAGCACCCCCAGCAGCACCTCCACCGTCGCCGGCGTGATGGCCCGCAGCGCGTTGGGCTGTCGGGATGATGGAGAGAGACGGGCTTTTATGTCGCCTATCGCGATATAAAGTCCTTTATTCAAGCTATTAACGCAGAGCCCGACGTCGCCAGCGCTGCAGGTTTTACCCATCTCACTGCACCCTGCTCCTGGGTGCGTGCAAATTAATTTAAAGCAAATTTCAGAACTATTAATTAAATCCTGATTTTTAAGCGTTGGGTTAATTAAAACCGATTTCTGCTCAAATTTATTCGGGCAAGAAGTTCTCATCTGCCACCCTGCAGCCGAACCGGTGGTGAACCAGCGGCTTCAGCTCAACTCCCTCTTTAATTTATTAAATTATTTTTTTTAAGGTAAAACCCACTGAATTTAGGGCTGGAATTTTAAATACAATTTTTAAAAGGCTTTTGAAAATTAAGCGGTTTAATTCCAGCCTTCATCTCGCTTGGAATAAACCAGACTTTGGGGTTTATCGTTTGGATGCTGATCCCAAGTCCTCCCTCATCCCCTTCCCAACGCTACCTTGGATCCGGAGAGGATGGCCCCAAAAAGATGGATAAGCCGGAGCTGGAGCGTTTCAGGGAGCTGCCCTCCGGCTTGGAAACTCTCTGTGAGGGTAAGGAGGGAAAGATTTACTTCGGGGAGCAAGCGGTAAGAAAAAAAATAGGGAAAAATTCCTTTTTTCACCCAAATCCACCCCCAAAACCAGCCCATGTGGGCACTGGACCCTGTGGATGATGGAGGGGATGAGGATGCTCAAAGTTTTTGCAGCTCTGGTTGCGCCGTGCGAGGTTTTTTTGCCCTAAAAAATAGGGGTTTTGTTCAAAACCAGGCTTCAGTTTGGGGATTTACAGGCGGTTGGGTGCCTTGGGAGTTTTAGGTGATTTTTTGCAACGTCTTTGCCTCGGAAGGGGTTTTTTGGGGGCTTCCCCGGAAAACAAAAAATCCCCTTTGCATTGATTTGTGCAGGCTCCCCAGGTTGTGCAGGACTTAATCCCTGCTTCGGGATCCTATACCTGCCCCCGGGACCCCGTACGTGCCCGTATGGGCACGTACGGGGTCCCGGGGGCAGGTATAGGATCCTATATTTGCCCTTGAATCCTATAGCGATCCTGGGGCAGGTATAGGCTCCTATATTTGCCCTTGAATCATATAACAACTCTGGGTCAAGTATAGGATCCTATGTTTCCAGGGGGAGGTATAGGTTCCTATATTTGCAGGGACAGGTATGGAATAACCTGGGGCAGGTATAGTATCCTATATTTGCCCTCCCCTACAGGCACGTACGGGGTCCTGGGGCAGATATAGGATCCTATGTTTGGCCTCAAATCATATACTGATCCTGGGGAAGTTATAGACTCCTACCTCTGCAGGGGCAGGTAGAGGATACCCTGGGGCAGGTATAGGATCCTATATCTGCCGGGGCAGGTATAGAATAACCGGAGGCAGGTATAGAATCCTATATCTGCCCTCAAATCACATACCTTCCCCTGAATACTATACACCCCCCTGGATCCTATATGTGCTCCTGGATCCCATCCCCACCCCAGCATCCCCTCCCTGCCCTGGGATGCTCTCCGCACCCATGGATCCCATACTGACCCTCTCCCACTGCCGGAGCCCCAGCTCGCCTGCCGCAGGCCCCTCCTTTACCTTGGAAGAAGGCGCTGAACTCGGGGGGCAAAGGGGCCGGGGCGAACTTGTATTTACTCTTCTCCTTTGCGCTGACGACTTCCCTGGAAAGAGAGGGGTGAAGTGGGGAGGACGGGAGGGCAGGGGGGGATTTTGGGGTGCAGGGTTGCGGGGGGGCCCCGCTCACCCGCTCAGCTGCCGCCGCCAGGTCTGGTAGGGGTCGAAGAGGCACTCGCAAAGATGCAGAGCGTAGAGCATCCCGCTCTCCAGCTGCGTCCCGCTCCGCTCATCCTCCCGGATACTCTTCAGCTGCCGGGAAAGCGGAGCGGGATTAACTCCCCCCCCACCCCAAAAAAATCCGCCTCTGGCTGAGCCCCCCCAGATGGGGGCAGGGGTTCTCCCCGCGCGCTCACCTTGCTCGCACAGACCCGCAGCAGCTTCAGCACCTCCGGGATGAAGCCGGGGGTTTTGTCCACTTGGATGTTTTCCAGGTTCCTGCAAGGGAGGGGGACGGACACATCGGGGGGGTTAATGCATCATGGGGGG